ACACTAATTTCACCTAACACTCTCTGTCACAGGTGTCGAAAATAAAAGATGATAACTGAGAAGAAACAAGGACTAATCTGTACTTACTAGAATTCACTCTTCTCCTCGCCGATGGATGAAAATTGCAGGAAGATTGAAAATATGGCATCAAAAAAAGGCTGCAATTCTTCTCGTTTTGCAACAATTAAGATAGTTGTATCTGACGGGTACTTACAACATCGTCACTTCCATCCTCGATGATGTCATAGACGACAGCAGAGAAAAAGACAAAGCAGATGACTGGTACGGCTAACCCTCTGCCCTAGAAAAGAAGTTCTTGCACCTCAAGAAGATTTTGATCAAAAAAACGAGTTTGAAACTTGGAAAAATATCTTTTTACCTCCCACAAAGAGGTTATCATTCGACCACATTGTGTTAATAGAAGCAAGCACAGAGGAACACCTTAAATATAGAATCGTTACCTCAAATAAAAAATACATAGACAAAGAGAGTTACCTATGATAGTATATACAACGGCAAAAATTTTGCCAGCAGTTGTAAGAGCATCGATTTCGATAGGACCTTCAAAACTTTTTTGAGATATCCTTGTCAAGTGACGGAGACAGAATATTCAGAAACTTTTCAACATTTTAAATTATGTACGGGCTATATAAAAGAAATTATGGCCTACTGTTGAGATTACAGAAGTAGAACTTCAAAAAACAAATTATTTTGACTCACCGATTGTGGTTACAAGTGAGAATGACTTTCGAAGGGATTCCGTGAAAGATCGATCATTAGAATTATCGTGATAACCTATGTAATTGAGTAGAGCCTGAAAATGTAAGGATAATACGCAGGCCATCGCAGACCAAGAAAATCATTGAGATACCTTTTCGTATAGTTCAAGCTTTTGATTAGCCATTTCTGCCCAGTCAGCTTCCGATTTAGAGATAGTTTCTGCCCACAACACATTGAGCAGTTCTGTTCGTTTCGCATCTAACTTCACTAATCCAGCAACGTCTGTCTATAAATCGCTTTTTTTGTGTAAACCATGGTGGCTGAATGTTGATCCCAAGACATTTTCAAAAGGTCTCCCACGAGGTAGGAAGATTTGCAAGATTGCATTGTAGTGTAAAGTTTTTTTCAAACATCTTCTCATTATGCCGCTTGTCTCTCATGAGCATATGCTTTTATTGTTCTCTTCCTGCATTTTTACACAAGGTGCCGAGCACTAGAGCTTTTTTTGCAATGTGGCATTTCAAAACGAATAAACCTCTCAATTAAATTAGATGTATAAACTTGGCAGTCTAAGTGGGCTTTACATTTGAAAATGAACAGTTTTGAAACTATTGAAACATGTTACAAAAATTGATGAAAGCTCGAGAAGTAAGACTCCATTCATGCTCAATCCTTTTTAAGGTCACTCTTTGAAGATATAGAAGTTAGAATGAGCAGAAAAAAATTAGAGTAGCTAGTAATTTGCTGATACCGCTAAAGCCTAGAAATCTGTGACAGTAATCTAAATTTCTGCAAATTGATCGCTGGAATTAGCAACTTTTGTGACTGTTTAAATTTTCTATCAAAGATAGTTTGAGTGACTTACAATCATAAATCAAAAGTTGAATTTAAAAGACTTTCAGGATGAAATTGGAGCAGGGTTCGAGCGCAGTTGTAAAGTACATGATCACCCTCGCAGCAACCATGCAGTCATAAATCATGGGAAAAGAAGTTCTAGTTAAATCTCCGCTTGATGTTTTTGAAACGACGCAAATTATCCCGTTTTTTTCTGTTGCTAGGTTTAGAAAATATAGGGCTAACAGGCTTTATCATATTAATTTCATTATAAACGCAGTAAATAAACGATTCGGGGTGCGTAATCGCTACGTACACGGAAAACCTCTCAACTTAGGTTTTCATAAGTGTAGCTAACTCAGTCACTAATTTGAAAGAAGTATGAGCTTTAGCTTTTTGTAAAATTTTATGTCAAACCTCTAAAATCAAGCGCAGTGAAATTTACTAAGGAAACAAAAAACAAGATTCTTAGCTGCGATGTGAAAAGGTCGTAAGATCATGACAGTGTAAGAGCTTAGGTGAAGTAATTAGCCAAAGAATGAAAAATGCGTCATAAAACTCGAGCGCAGCACCATGATAGGTAAACTTTTAAAAAACGTCGAAATTCGAGCACACCGTACCCTTTTTTGGCCGACAACGGAAAGCACCGAAAAGGTAAGCGTGCCGAGCGCTAGCCAGAAGAATAAGCAAATCCCGAAGAAAAGTGATCTTCGCAGTGCTAATTGGAATCGAGGAGATAACTCGGTTGTCGACATGCTGCTGACAATGCAATCGATCGATTCCACGTAAACTAAGGCGGATCTGCCAACCCCTGCTCTTTACAACGTCGCGTAACAAGCAAAACATTGAGCTGCACTCTTTCCGGATCAATTGGCAACTATTTAGCAGCCGAGCTCTCCATGAGGTATTTTGCCGATGTGTGAGACGCCTAGCAGTGGCAGCTTAACTCAGAGTACAGAAAATCCTTTCTTGTACACCACAATGGAATTCCGCATCTTTAAATCAGTTGCCTTCATTAAATTGACGTATTTTAAGGGCTTTAACGTTATCTTAGTTCAATACAAGTGTTACCTTGTAATTTGACGCATGTTGCTATTTTTGTACAGCAGAGGTAGAATCTGCATACTTTTGCCACCTTTACTCAGAAATCAGTAGCACAATCTGAAGTGCAGCCCCGTAGTCGGAACGCTGTTCGTAGGTAACACAACATTCTACATATTTGCTGCCGTATTTCACTATTAAAAGCATAGCACTATACTGTAGTGATCAAACTCCCCGCTGTCC